TTCTAACTGCAATGCACTACAGGAAGTGCTGGGGGCACTATCGCTTCCACTGTCTGCCATGACTGCTTGACTGTAAGACCACTCACGAAGAAGAAGCATTCCTGTGATAAGCGGAAAGTAACGGAGAAAGAGGCAAACAACAAGTTTTGTACGCTATTTAATCACTAAGTACACTTTTGAGCAGTTTTGAGGCGAGAAATCAACTGTGTAGATTTTGAATAAGGCAGTTTTACCAAAGTTGATGGCGAATTGAAAATGTGCTCAAACGTTTTCGGGGTTGAGAAGCTACACAAGCGCCTGTAAGGATAGCGGTGCCAGCCGGCCGGCCAGTCAGGCCCACAGAGCGCCTGGTCCCAGTCACTCAGACCACTGCAGCAGCAACAACAGAGCAGCAACATCAGAGGAAAGGCAGTGTTTCCTATATGTTCATTTATTTGTGGCGGCCCGCCACAATATCAGCACTGACCACCACATACTGATTTTTGTTGTTGTTTTTTACTAGGCTTATTTAAGCTCGTCTCTTTCTCTCCCCCCCTCTACCTCATGAACACCACAGCACAAATCTGTCCAACACAACGCTGGCAATGTTGGAGACCCAGCTTTAAAAAGTTATTAGTAATGAGTAATGTTTAAAGTATATCAAGGAACATCTGGCTCGTGATGCAGCCTACAGAACATTCTCCACTTATAAAACTTATAAGCACTTTTGAAAAAATAATAAAATAAATGACGTAGTGAAGTAGTATGAAAGGGACTGTTGCATTATTGTTCTAAATGCACATTACATTGTTAGTATAAAGTTGTGGTTGTAGTACTTGCTTTTAATTTGCTTTTATTTTATATACTTTCAAAGCAAAAATCTTTGTTAAACAGTTACAAGTTTTAAAGTTTGCATAAATCAGTGAATTATAGGAGTGGCCTACGCTGTCTTGTCATCTTCCCCGGTTTCCCCCTGGCATTGATACTGGTGTTCATTCTGAATAGCAAACCTCGTTCACTTAATGGTAATGTTAGCTAGTTAGGCTGTGTGTGGAGATCAGTAATTCACTTGAAAGATTTAATTAGTTAAATGTTTTAATTAGGATTAGGGGTTGAAAAACATAATCGTAACTAGTCGACTAATCGAATAAATAATTAACAGGCTACGAAAATAGTCATTAGTTGCAGCCCTAGTTGTAAGTATAAAATAATGATTTCATCTGCAGCTCAGCAGCTTGGTAATAAATACCATTAAACATAGTATTTATGAGCTGAGATTGAACTCTCACAAACACAAAAAAACTAGAAATATACTTGAAAAACTAAATCCTTCTATTAACCACAGAGCAAGGGTGGATCTTTTTCAGTTCAATGATTGATTAACACAAAGAAAGCATATATAAAGAGAATCGGATGGTGGTCTTTGTTGATAAAAGACAAAATCTATTGTCTTTTTTTTGCCTGAGGTGAAGGTGTAGCACAGGATAATCAACATGAGAGCTTTGTGTCTCTATGTTGTTGAAGTTCTTGGTCATGTGAGTGTAATCACACTGGTAAGCCCCTATATCTTTACATCTTATCTATAATAATTAAGGCTTTTCTAAAATATATGTGTCTCAGTTATCAAAAGTTTCTTTCACTCAACATGGTTTCCACTTGGTCATCAGATTTTTATCAATTATATTTATCAGAGGCTGTGTGTGAGTGCGTGCAACCGTGCAGGACATTAAATTCAAT